CTAATTGCCTAGTAGGTTCCAAGTTCTGGGCTAAGTGCACAGGATATAAATGCAAAGAATGAAACAATCCCTATTCTTTCAACTGGGCAGCTAGGTGGTACAGTGGATAATTCACTGGGCCTGGGGTCAGGAAGACCTGAGTTCAAATCCAGCCTCAGACACTTACTAGCTGTGTGACCCTGGGCTAATCACTTAACTTTATTTATCTCATTTGCCTTTATTTTTCCTTATCTGTAAAATGAGCTAGATAAGGAAATGGAAAATCACTCCATATTCAAGTTTTGAAGGAAACAAGGGATTCTAAAAGGCAGAGATAAGGAGGAAATGCATTACAGGTGTGGGGGACAGCCAATGCAAAGTTAAGGAGATGGAAGATAGTACTCTGTGAGGAATAGCAAAAGGAAGTTGAACCTTCTAAAACTTGTCACTTGCTGGTATGGTCACACAGTTCCTTTATGTTTTCTATACTGCCATCATGAGTCCCAAGGCCAGGCAGTCACAGACTAGCTGCCTTCCTTCTTCACTCTGCAGTCTGGGCCTCCTTTACTCTAACACCTTGTATTCTGATTCAATTCCGGCCACTACCACCAGCATCTTTCAGCATGGTTTTGAAGGGCCTGGCTTGTCCTTTATCCTTTACTTACTACCTCTGTTCACTCTCATAGGCTCCGATTCCTCATTGTTTCCCTCCAAAGAAGCCCCCTATGTCTTCCTTATGGTTCTCTCTCTGTTGCTCTATGTCAGTCACTCTATCTCTCTTTCCCTCATTCAAAGTCTTGGTGTCATCCTTGTCCCCTCTCTCTCCCCCACACCCATATTCAACCAGTTGCAATCTTACTAGTTCTATCTCGATAGCATGTGCTGAAATCATTCCCTTTTCTCCATTCACACAGTGACCACCCTGATTCAGGCTCTCATCACAGGTACAAAAGCCTCCCGATTGATCTCCTTGCTTCCATTCTCTACTCTTTCCAGCTCATCCTCTACATAACTGCCAAATTAACTTTCTTAAGGCACAGATCTGACCATGTCACTGTCAATCCCCTTCTCAGAAATTCAGTGCCTCCTTATTACCTCAAGGATAAGATATAAATCTAGGATTAAGGGTTAACTAAGACAATCCTGAGCTTCCTCAAGGTTTGACTCAGATACAGTTCAGGATTTTCCCTTTAAGAAGACATTTTTAACAGAAGCATGAATAAATTAATATTTAAACACATTTGTCCATCTTCAAAAATGTATAAATGTTGAAGGTTAAAATACCTATTGTAAGAGAATGGATACTGGAAAAGATGTTAGCCATTTCTAATCTTACCATTACTTTTACATAAATAATAATATAATTTACAATAAAAAATGGGTCTATTTCCAAAGATGATTAGGGAAAAAGGAGAAGGACCCATATGTTCTAAAATGTTTATAGCAGCTCTCTTTGTGGTGGAAAAGAACGGGAAATTACAGGGATACACATCAATTGGGGAATGGCTGAATAAGTTGTAGTATATGATTGTGATGGAATACGACTGTACTCTAAGTAATGATGAACTCAATGATTTTAGAAAAAAATATAAAGACTTGCAAGAAGTAACGAAGAGTGAAATGAGCAGAACCAAGAGAATATTATATACAGTAACAGTAACATTGTTTTAAGAACGACTTTGAGCTTATAAATTATTTTGACTATTATAAATACCCAAATTAACTACAAAGGACATAGGAAGAAAGATGTTATCTGTATCCAGAGAGAGAACAGATAAACAGAGGGATAGTATAGAATAATCTTTCATATACATACCTATTTGTGTCTAATGGTAGCCATCTCTAGGGTGGGGGGAAGAATAAAAAGAAAAAAAATTTACATAATTTTGTGTGTATATGAAAGGAATAACAAATTGTGCACAGATTTGCAGCTTCATGTGCAACTATCTTTTTTTATCATACTATGTTATGGAAATGTTTGTTTTATCCTATAAATTAAAAATAAAATAATTTTTTTAAATGTAAGATTGAATTTAATGGACATGAATGCAATTCTAGTGATTTGCTTTCTTCTATGCTTTTTTAATAACAAGAATGTTTCAATGTTTCAATTTTGATTATATTTTAATGACTTCTTGGTACTATTCATTCTTACTGCTGATACAAAGATTTCTGTGATTCAGCCCCAACTTAATTAGGAGGCTCTGTCAGACATTAGAACTATTAGTTCTGGGTCAGGCTGAGATGAATAAACAAACCCCTTCTTATCCTATAGTACACACAATTTAAAACGCCTATTAATGAACCTATAAAATTAAAAATTACTAATTAAATTTTAAAAATTACTATGCTTCAATGCCCACTAAAACTATAATTTGATTCTGCAGAATCATACAATCTCTAAGCTAGAAGACATGTCAGAGGCTACTAAATCCAACGTTAGAAGAAAATTCCTTCTACATGATTTCTGAGGAGTAGTCATTTAGTCATTACTTGAAAACCTCCAGTGATGGGGAACTCATTGCCTACCAGCGTTGACAATTCCATTCTGGGAAAGCTCTAATTGTGAAGTCCAATCATCTTATTTTATAGAGGAGGTCACTGAGGCTCATGGAGATTTGCCCAAGGTTAACATAGTACCAGAGACAGATTCTGTAACCCACCTCCTGACTCCAAAGCAAGTGCTTTTCTAGCTCTGCCCTCAAAGGAAAAAGAGCAAGCCTGTGTCTCCATCAGAGTACTTCAAATTCCTGGAGACAGCTCTCATATCCACTTCCCTTCCCAGTCATCACCTTCTCCACTCTAAACATCTCTGGTTTCTTCTACTAATCTTAGCATGTCATGATTTGAATCCTCCCCATCCAGATTATTCTTTGAGCAATCTACAGCTTGTTAATGTCCTTCCTGAAATGTGATACCAAGAACTGAACACAATATTCCAGATGTGGTCTGACTATGGTCAAATATAGGAGCAAGGATACAAATACAAAGAATGAAACAATCCCTACTTTTAAGGAACTTGCATTCTAACAAGTACATATATAAGGATATACAGAATAAATAACAGTTAAATACAAAGTAGTTTAAGAGGGAGGCCGCAGGACAAGCTTCACCTGTGGGATACTTGAACTATATCTTAAAGGAAGAGGGTGATTCTAGACAGCAGAAATGAAGAAATTAGTTACAGACACGGAGTGTAAGGCACACAGCAATGGAAAGGCACAGGGATGGAAGACACTGTGTCACGTTTGAAGTAGAGGCCAGATTGGCTGTGGAAAGTGGAAAAATGTACAATACAGCTGGAAAGGCAGTGGTCAGGTTGAGAAGGGCTTCAAAAGCTAAATAATTTACATCTTGTACTGGAGGTCATGGGGAGTCACTGGAGTTTAATGAGGAGGGGAGAGACACAAATAGATCTGCATTTAAGAAAAATCCCTAATGTAGCAATGCACAGGATAGACTAGAGTGGGGAAACCTGAGATTAGGAGACCAATTAAGAGGTCATTGAAATAATCTAGTAAGAGAAGATGTGGGCATGAACTAAGGTGGTAGCTCTGCAAGTACAGAGCTGTGGTTAAAAGCAAGATATATTAAAGAGGTAGAAATGGTAACCGTTTGGATATCTGAAGCTTGGGACAGTGAAAAATCAAAGCTAATGCAAAAGTTATGAATCTTGGAGACTTAAAGAATGGTAGGGTCTTCCATAGAAATGGAAAAGTGTGAAGGAGGGGTGGGTTTAGGGGGAAAAAAGCTAAGTTACATTTTAGAAATTTTTCATCTAGATTTTGATTTAGTAAAACTTAATTCAAAATTTTAATAGGTCTCCAGAATATCTGGCTTGAAATGTCCAATATATAATTGATGATGCAGAATTGAAGCTCAGGGGAGAGAGGCTGGGAGAGATGTGATATATAGATCTGGGAGTCATCTACACAGAGATGATTAAATCCATGGGAGCTTTTTGCTTGTTTCCTCAACTGTTAAATGGGAATAATAATAACACCTATCACCCTGGGTTATAAAGATCAAATGAGATATTTGTAAAATTCTTAGAAAAGTGCCTGACATATAGCAGATGATTTATAAATGCTAGTTATTATTAATTAGGTTACCATGAAAGGTAGTGCAAAGAGAAGGCCCAGGACAGTCTTGGGGAACACCCACAGTTATATAAACAAAGTGGACAATAATTCAGGACCTTATGCTAAGTTAATGAAATCTAAAATATTAGCTTTCTTCTGCCTTGTTTCCCCCTGCTAGCTCACTGAACTTACGGTCTATTATAACCTTTTCCCAGCCCCCCAGGTCTTTCTAACTGAACTACATGTATCTACTCTATTCTGCACATCTGAGGTAATTTTTTTTTTAAAACCCACATCAAATACTTGAAAATTTAGTCAAGATAAATGTAGCCTTATATTTGCCTCATTTTTCATTGCTGACATGGCAAGACATTTCCCACAAGTCACCAAACACTTATTAACTATCTGCAAGGTAGAAGAGATACAAAGAAAAAACAAACAGTTTTATCTTTCAAGTTTTACAAACAAGCTTGCTAATGTTGAGGTGACGCAGGATTCTTGAAGGCTATGTCATTAAAGGGTAAGCTCTGGCAGGTCCTATGCTAAGGCTGAAAGTTCTCCACTCCTGTATAGTAATAAATCAGCCAAATTAAATGTGGCAAGGTTTATTCAAAGAGTTGGCCATTAGATACTGAACTCTGTAATTATAAGAATTCATGAAAGCATGAAGGGATTAATATATGTGTCAGTCCAAAAGTACATACATGAATGAAATAACAGATCCTTGAAACTGTGAAGTAAGGTTAAATATAACTTCTAAATAAAATAAAGTTTATAAACAATGCCTCTTTCATATTATTATGAAGGTACTGGGAGTAATTTTCTGACAACCTTAATTTAAAATATTCTATAGTATCTATTAATAACATATTTTATTAAAGCCACAACCTTTTATATTATGAACTTTATTATAATCAGACTTTTTCAAATTTTAATTTTATTGAACAATTCTGGTTCATTTTGTGAATTTGCATATTTGAACATAAAATATTACAATTATTGCACAAATCTTCATATTTAATGGCCCCAAATGAAAAACTAAGCTTTACTTTACAATTCAAGAAGCATTAACCAAATATAACAGTTGACACAATCAACACAAACATTTTCTTGGTAAAAAATAGTGTAGGAAACATTGTAATGAAAAAAGTCTAGGATGGAAGAGAAAAATACCTCCAGTAACCTATACTTTTTCACAATATCTACCATCTGTGCAAATGCAGCATTAAGAAAATTCTCATACAGTATTTACAATATGGAGGTAAGAGAAAAAAACTTGAAGGCCAGTACTTTTCATTTGTCACCCCTTACAACCTTCCTGATTTGCTAGTCTGCCATTTCAATTAAAAACAGGATTTTGGTTGGCCACACAATAAAGTGTATATCTGTGCCACCATAAACTCAATTTGAGGTGGTAAGCTTATCAATTAAATCATCAATGGTATACACAAGAAGTTTGATGTCCTCCTTCTCCTTCATTCGATGATCACCATTTTTACGAAGGATGACATCTATATCTGAGCTGATTATATGGTCAGCAATCTGCATGGAAGTTTGCCATGGAATGAACTCATCCTTCATGCCATGGAGCAATCTTACAGGGCACGTCACAGGGATAGGGCCGTGTAACAAGCAGTGGAAACTTGCCTCTTTAATGAAACTGTACTGAAAGATATAAAATCCATCGTCACTGTATTTTGTTGGCACCTTCCATGTACCTTTCACTTCTATATCTTTTTTTGCCTGTTGGGAAAAGTCAAGATTTTAAAATATGCATTTATGTTTACATACCATAGTTACAAACTTTAAAGATTGAGAGAAAAGAAAAAAACCACAAAAATATCACTGCTTTAGTATTTTAAATTCAAATATTGTGTGACTGTACCCTAATTTAAGAATAAAAGAATAGGGGCAGCTCGGTGGTGCAGTGGATAGAGCTCTGGCCCTGGAATCAGGAGGACCTGAGTTCAAATCCAGCCTCAGATCCATAACACTTACTAGCTGTGTGACTCTGGGCAAGTCTTTACTTAACCCCAACTGCCTCACCAAAATAAATAAATAAATAAATGTGCTTAGCATAGTGCTTCACAAATAGCAAGCACTTAATACATGCTTTATTTACTTTCTTATTAAACACCTATTATATGACAGGCAGGCATTATGCACATAAAACATATATACTCATGTTATTTTGATCAGTGTATTAAATCCCTAGTTGAAATTATTACTACGGCTTCTACTTTCCCTGATTCTAAGCATTTTTAAAGATATTAAACAAGAGGATCATTTAAATTAAATAATGGGAAAAAAATTAATACCCCTAAAACACAAAGGAAATAAATATTAACCTATATGTCTACTTTCTTATCTTTAGAAAATCTTTAAAAATTGTTTGTATGAATACTGTGAATATTACAGATAAAAAATATTAGAAGAGGACGAGACAGGCTTTGGAAGATTATTCTCTACAGCAGACAATATTTTTGTAGTCACTCAATGTTTATTGTTTGTCGATCACCAGTGCTGAGCACAAGGGTGGGGAATCAGTAGCCTCAAGGCCTTTAAGTGCTAGCACTCAGTAGTTCCTTAAATACTTGCTAAATGATTACAAAAAAATTTCAGTTCAGTACAGTGAAAGAGACTTAAAAGTTTTCCCACAGCAAGGAGTCTCTTGCATAAATTTAAGGTCATGCAAGAATTCTTAAGAAATGGTTAAGGGGAAGGGCAGACAGAAGTTTAAAATTGGTTGAAATGGATGGTGAAAGCAGCTTGGTTTCAAAAAGATTACAATATGGTCACAATTGATGCGGCCATCCAACTGAACAAAAAATGGGCATTAATCAGGTAACTTACGGCATATGGGCCAGTGACTGAGACCTGAGAAAAATACTGATGATACCACTTTCACCTTTTCTTTTCTCTCTCATATCTTTCCTTTTCTTTGGATCTTCTTATATAAAAGTAGTGTATTTAAGCACAAGCGAGGCTGACCTTTGGCTTAAAAGGAAAATGTTGCCACTTGCTACCTCACATTTAGGGCACAAGTTCTCATTTGCCTGGCTCAGAGTGTAAAACTATGTAGACCTTTAATCCCCATTTTGTTTTTATTACTGTAGCTTGTAGTGCCCTCAAACAGATGTCTTAGAACAAGCCACGAGAGGTTTATCAACTTCCGTTATTTCAGACACTTTATCTCTGCCACAAATTTGTCTAAGTACTAAACTGGCCAATTTAGCATCACAAACATTGAGATAATTAGTGGAAAAAAGGAACCAAATGAATGTTTAAACAACAAGCAAGGATTAAATCAAAAGAACAAAAATGGACAGGTGCAAAAGATCACAAAAGATATGGGCAAAATAAAGTACTGTGATTAGTAAAGAAAGAGACATACCATGGAAGCAATTTGAGAAAGTGACCATGTGTGGCTCAAGACAAAATCTAAGAGAAAGGCTTTGAACAAATAAGAAAACAAAATGAAGTGGACCTTGAAGTAAGAGGTCGCAATAGCTAAGGGATTGTTCATGAGGGAGCAAAGACAAGCATTAGAGGGACTTAAAAAATGTAGAAAGGAAGTTCATAATCTTAATAACCATGTTTTTAAAACTACACCTCCCTTTCTCTCTGTATATATACATATATATGTCTATATAGACACACACACACACACACACATATATGTATTTACTTACCTCAACAGAAAGTTGATTAAATTGTGTTACCATGCTATCTGCTGCTGTAGCTATGCCAACGAGAGCTGCTACTTTTTGTGGGCGTGCAATTGCAGCATGAAGCATTAACCAGGCACCCATGCTAGATCCAACCAATATCTAGAAATGAAATGTTTATTTTAAAAATAAGATATTGAAATTCACAAAATTAACACTTTATTTAATGACTGTCACTCATTTTAAACTACAGGCTTCTGATATATTTGGAAAGATGTACAGTTGAAGAATTAACTCCTTAAGTAGTTGAAAAGTAGCAGGACAAAGAGCAAGCAGTGAGTCCTGGAACTTGACTCTGAATGTGACTTCAAAATTTACTCCTGTCATCATCAGACTCACAGTTTCTCTGAGCCTCAGTTCCCTCATCTGTAAATCTAAGATAACAATACTAAGTAGTACCTACCTCAACAGGCTAATGTGAGGTTCAAATGAGGTAATATAAGCAAAGTGATTTGTAAAACTGAAAAGTACTATGTAAACATGAGCTATTATTATTACAATACAAAGTTATTGCATGAAAAGAAATTTTTAAAGAAAAACAAATTTAGCAGTAAAAGAAAACTGCAGCAATAAAATTTTTTAGTTAAGTAGCAAAATTTTGCATTTTGCCTCTTCCTTGTTTAAAACATATACCAAGAATCTAATTTGCTATCTGATGTCAATACTTAATCATATAAAATAACCTGAGGTCCTTCTGCTATGTCATCAATTATAGAGAGAACATCTTTCCTCCATTTCCCCACTGTACAGTCTTCAAACTTGCCTTCTGAACTTCCACATCCTGAATAATCAAACCTGTAAAATAATAAAATGTGTAAACAGGATTTTCTATTACTTTGATTATCAAAAAGCACAGATAACATTTTCTCCCCCACTCCCCATACTCTACAATGCAAGTACAAAGGGAATTTGATAGTAATATGCAAAGATACATAACATTTGAGATGTTTAAAAAAAATAAATTCTGAACTAAACCAAATAAAACAATACTTAGAACAGTAAAATATTTATTTTATCTTGACAACAGCTAAAACAGGTTTTTTTTTCCCTTTCTCAAAATAGGCAACCTAAACAAATCTCCAGTAAAAAAAAAAAATCAGTGAAATAAATGCTCAGAAATGAAATGTGGGGAAAAGGGACAGGGCATTTTCTCCCACAAACACCTGATAAGATATTGAGTTCTGTAAACCAAGGGTATAAAAAATGCTCAAGTAATGTGTTTACACACTCCTTTAACCGCTTAGATGTCTAAAACTAGGAATTCTTAAGATTCCATATCTATTACAGATCATTCTAATTCCCATACAATGAGGACAAGAAGTGTAGAAGGGCTTAAGAACTGTTATTTATTTATTTTTTGCAAAAGAGAGAAAGGTTTACTGACTTCCTTGTTTGTGGACTTCTTGTTCAATTCACCTATGGGGTGCTACGGTGGGGTGGTGTTTGTGGAGTTTGAGTATACACACATAGACACATGCATAAACATGTGTGTGTGTGTGCATGTGTATGTGTGCTTCTGTGTTCCTATTTAGACTATAAAACACAGAATGGAATAGATGCCGACATTCATTTATTCCTATCTGAGTATGTGTGTTGCTGAAGTAAAAAAAAAATAAAAGATTTATTTATTCATAAGAGCAGAAATAAGGAATTCTGGCTTACTTGCTCAAACAAGTACAAAGGTTTTAAAGTAGAAAATAAGAATCTGATTCCAATAAAAGTTAAGCATCAGAAAAAGCAAATATATTAGATACTTATAATTTATAAAATAAGATTGATTAGTCAGAATTCTACACAGCAAAGGTTGCATTAAATCTCTTTTGGGGCCTTCCCTCTCCCTCCAGTTCCTTTATTGAATGTGAGTTCTTTATTGGCTTCAAACAGTGGAGGTCACTAAGGCTACAACCAAACTCATCATCTTCGTCCAAAGTCTCTCATTCTCTAAATGGTACCTTCTCCCAGTAACAGAGGCTGGAAATTTTAGTCATTTTTGGACTTTCTCTCTAGCTATTCATGGGCAGTTACTAGATTGCACAGAATCTAGTCCTTAAATGATCAGAGGTGCGTATGTGGGGGGAACAGGAACCCAAAAGAAATCATATATTTGTAGTATTATGCATACACAACATGAACTAAGAATATAAATTTTCCCATTTATATTTCATAACCCTTGAGGAATGACTTATTAAATATAAACAAGAGAAATAATATTCTCCAGGAGTCAAAATGCTACTTTACCATCCTTAACTATATTTGGAAATAAGTTATTTAATAAATAGAGCTGAGGAAAAACTGAGAGGGTAAGTTAACCTCCATAATTTTATGTGGAAATATTTATAAATTTGCATGTAAATTGCTTTCCATAAGTTGACCTATTAAAGTCATTATTAACAGTAGATTATTGGTGTTGGGGGCAACCAGTCTGGGTAAGAAGTTTAAGCAAGATACATCACAGCAGCAAGAAAATACCTGATTCCTAATAATTATTAGGCAGAAAAACTAAAATATATGTTCATAAAAATGTTAAAGTCATAAAAAATGTTAAATTATGGTGTTTTATGTTTAAAAACATAGTTAAGTTTTTGTATTTCCATCAAAATGTCTGAATTGGGTTTTGGTCACCTGAAGGGTAATTAATCCAAAAATTCACTTAGGCATAATGTCTTACCATGCTAGATAAAGGAGTTGTTTATGAATTACCTTACATTCCTTGAGTTATATAAAATGATTAGGTGGAAGGGAAATGGCCCAAGAAGATATTTGAACATCAATGAGAAGGCAGCCTAAAATTAAAAAAATTACAGTGGATAATCAAGAGTTTACCTTCCCTTGGTATTATGAATAGGTTTTTAAGGATACTATTGAGTATTGTGCATTTTGCTTTCTAGGACAGGATTTTCTTTTCTAGGATAGTCCATTCTTTTTATGGACCATTCATCATGAGGAAAATATAATACACTACTTGGGGCTGTAGCTAATACTGCATACTTATGATTTAATGAGATAGTATAAAAATAAATACAACCAGTATATACAAATAACAGTCAATTTCTAACTATTTGTACCAAAGATCTTGAAGACTATGCTGAATAATGGTCAAGTGGGTCAAGATTATGCTTCTCCATTTTGAAGAGCTTATCCTAGGAAGCAAGGCCAGATTCTAGCTTAGATAGCATCCCCAGTGGAAGTGATAAAAATCTCTTAGATACTACCTGATAATATACAAATTTACAACTTGGGGGCTGAATAACCATGGAACCAATAGAAGACATATATAAACATGGAGACTCAAACTACGGAGTTACTAAAATAACTAAAATGGTCAAAACTAGACTGGTTTAGTAAAGGCTTTACATGAGAATCCAATCTTACACAGTTTTTAAGGATGTTAGAGCTATATATTGGTAGAAAGGAAAAGGTGTAAGCAAAATTCAAAGAAGAGGATAAAGTCAAGTCGGTGTGACCAGGATCTTGAAGTTTGTGATCAGAATATTTCAATGTACAGTCAGTTACATTTGCAGAGGAGGACCAAGAAAGTTACCATAATCTGAACAGTTAACAACTTCTACTTCTGGCTGCTTAGTGTCTAGAATAAGACCTAATTTTGAATAATCAGAGAATGAAGTATTACAAATGAATGGATTTTTTAAAAAACAAATGAATCAGCCCTTTAACAGCAGAAAGTTTTAAATGATTTTAATAGAATTCATTACAAAATTTCTCATTACCCATTTGACCTAGAAAGTAAAGTACGTTGAACATAATTTGGCTTTTTTTGTGATTACTCAGGGTCATCATTGTTTTTTTCTTTTTTTGAATTACAATGCTTTTATTGCCAGAATGTACAAAACATCGATCCTTTTATGATTCTGCAATACTGCCTCTGAATCCCATGAAGCTTCAAAATAACTAAATCTTCCAGTTTAACAAAACACTCCGAAAGGTTAAGCAGGGCTTTTTTTTCCTCACGTAATAGAATACAAAGTTTTTTGCCTTGTTGGTTCAGACCTTATAAAAATGGGTGACTGAGCTCTGGTCTGACAGGAATATAGCAGAGGGAATACACCCAACTTGAGTGACACACTTCCATTTCATACCATTATATCTGTCTACTGTCTTTATTAAACAGGTCACCATTCAAGTTATCAAATTATAAAATTTTAGATATTATATCTTTAAATGTATTAAGCATAATGATTTTTGACTCCATGAATAGTGCTCGACTGCACCAACTAACTGAAACTAGAGTACTTTTATAAAATATATTGTCAAAGCTTAAGCTGCTATGTACCTGCAGTTTCACAAATTGCCATATATTTTAATTACATCATGGTATTTGAAAATACTTTTAATTGTACTGTGGATCTCTCAAAAACCATAGAAACATACTTTAGAAAAGCTCCAATGGTTCTCAATGCCTGAAATTTTATATCATCACATGAAAATGGAACCTCTCTATGGCACTCTCTATGACACTTTGGTTGTCACGCTGTATTTTCAATAAAGGGCGTGAAAAGTAACCAAAAGATGGGTAAAAGAGACTCTTGTGACATACATTTTGAATGAGTTATTTTCATAAACTAAATATCTGAGGATTCCAAGATTTTTCTTTGAGCATACAGTACTGTAATGCTGACTACTTAAAAATAAACAAAAATATTTTTTAGAAGCTCAATCAGAGGTTGTACTGCATGAAAAGGATTTAATACTGGCTATATACAGAGAAGAGCAAGACCAAAATCCCTAAAGCATCTCAACTGGAAATACTTCATGTTACCAAGATGTCACTTTAATATGGCAACATTCAGCAGCTTACCATTTTGACATTTAATAATCAACAGCAACATTGCTGTTTTTCCCCTTGTCCTTTGGCTTTCAGGGTCATCATTATGAAACAGCATGGGAATATGTACTGAACCAAGAATTATTCTGACTTGCTTTCTTGCAAAAATTCCTGATAAGAGGCAGATGAGCAAAAGAATGCTTTCTCATGAAGAATCAAATGGTTACAGTGGCACGTTCGTTAGTTGAGATTGTCCTTGTTACAAAATTAACTGTTGAATCAAAGGTCAAGGTAGATTTCTCTGAAGGGCAAGGACTCCCTCTCTTCCTCCTTTCCTTCATATTCCGAGTGCCATCAAAATTGCCTTGAAAGATAACAGGTTTGTTCTCATACTCCAGAAAAAAAAAATCTCTTCTTCCTAGTGTTTTCTTGGTTTCTTTCTGCTGGTCAGTAACATTCAATATATTACTGCTATGTCTATATCTAGCATTTCCTTGTCTTCTTAACCCATGCCTTTGCCTCAATGGCATTGTTTGTTGTTGGAAAACAAAAGATGAGTAGACCTCAGCATTTCAAGAATTTGTACAAGAATGTATACTGGAGAGTCCTTACTCCAAAGTTTATATTCATCATTAGAAAACAAGTCTGCAAGAAACACAGGGCACAATTGTTCCCAAGTCTCTTAGAATGTTTCATGTATCAATTCCAAGTACAAACATTAAAAATGCATTTTTCACATAATGAAATTGAATTGCAAGTCCTACTTGATAGATCAACTTTCCCTTGAAATATTTGACATTTTACATTGTTAACACTTTGGTTTATAGGCTGAACCAAAGAGGTAACACACCAGCAGACGGGAAGGATGCTAACTAGCCCTGTAAGTATTTTTGTGAGCTCTATAATTTTAACAAAACAACAGCTTTGCTAACACCTCATATGAGGCAATGGCTCTGAAATGTTCTTTCACCAAAAACAAACAAACGAACAAACCACAAAACAAAAAACATGA